TGTGGCGGCAATTTCTCTCGAGATTGCAAACTGGGTTAGTGGGTCACACGGGATGAGAGGAAGAGCTCGGCGCAGTCAACCGTGGAGCGCTAAATTGAGCAGACTACAGGCATTAGGCAAGGTACACAAACGCGAAATGTCAAGGGTTAATTTCTCTTGTTGTCTGCTCTGCTGATTGGAGATTATTTGACTGTTTACTTCAAAGATGTTGTTTTTGTTGTTGTTGTAAACTATAGGTTGATGGTTGCAGCGTTGGTTCAAGATAAATTATGGATTCATATTACAAAAGAAAAAGAAATCTTTCAAATGATGAAGGTACTTCAACTTCTGAACCTAAATTCCACAGTTGTCATTGGTTGAAGCGGAACAAGAGCAACCAAATAAAAATGAAGAGACAGAGCGGCCAACAAATGAACCTATCATATTTCAAGTTATTGAGTTTCTAGAGCGAGACACTGGGAACACCCACAAATTTGGCAATACCCAGAAAATGTGAGAGATGAGGTGCGAAGACCATATCTACAATTAGATCGCATGCAACCTAAATTGGAGATTTACAAGCCATATGGACCACAAGGACATCAAAGACGTTCTCAATTCAGTTGGTTGAAGGATTTTTCATCGTGGTTGGAGTACTCTAAGAGTAAAAGTTGTGCATTTTTTTTACGTTGCTTTCTTTGCAGTAAGAACATAGAAAAAGTGGTTCTGATGTGTTCACATCAAAAGGTTTTGATGGATGGAAAAGAGTTAATAATTGCAAGAAGTGTAAATTCTTGGCACATATTGGATCTGGACCTTGCTCACGGCACAACAACGAAGTGAGCGATTGTCAAGCTATTTGAATCAATCACATATCAACCTTCAACAACTTGATGGAGATACCACCTTTAACTACTTGACATCATTTGAGTTTGTATTTTTCCTATGTATGATGATAAAATATTGGGAATCAGTGAAGAGCTTGGCAAAGCTTTACAAAAGGAATCACAAGACATAGTAGATGCCATTCGTTTTCTGTTATGCACAAAACACTTCTTGAACGAATGTGATCAGATGATTGTTGGGAATTATTTTCCTCTAGGTTTGCAAGTTTTGTGTAGAGCATGCCATGGACATTCCAGACATGGAGGAAAAATATATTTTTTGTAGTGGTCATGCTCATCATCAACCTGATTATTTTACAAATGAGCATTACTTCGAGTGGAGATATTTCGAGCAACATTGGACAACCAGCTAAATGAATTAAATCTAAAGTTCAATGAGAATGTGCCGGCTCTTCTATCCATAAGTGCTACTTTGGTGCCAAAGGATGGATTTGCTTCTTTTAGTCCTAAAGATATATGCAAAATGGTTGAGAAGTACTATCCACAACAAGATATGATTGGACTAGAGCATCAACTTAATCATTTTGTTGTGGATGCTTCACATAGTAAAGATTTGAAGAACACTTCAATTTTAACTGCACTTTGTTGGTGCCTGGTTGTGACGAGCCGATATAGGATCTACAACTTGGTTGACAGATTGATTAGTTTACTTGTTACTCTCCCAGTTAGTGATGAGCGTGCATTTTCTAGCTTGAAGATCATCAAGACAAGGTTTGTGAAGCGTGCATTTTCTAGTTTGAACAAAAAACTCTGAATATATAGTTCTCTGACACTCATATTGTGGTGTAGACGTGTTATTTTTGGAACAAATGTTATAATCCAGTTTTGAGGTCAGTATCACCAGAACGAGAAAGAGGTCGGGCTGGAACAAGGGTGACCGATTTGCCCTAAGCCCAGCAACATGTATTGTGAGGCAAAAGGAACAGAAGGTCACGTTGTTCAGGTTCACCAAACCAGCTTCATTGTCTACTTGGTAGTTGGCAAGTTTTGTAAGAAGCCACTACCAACTGAGCATGTGGGATGTCATCACCTGCGACCAAGTCGACTTGAACCTAAGGGATCGTGCGCTTAAGAAAAGGAATTTGTGAGGCCAGATCCGACTTCACCGTTCGGATGTGATCCGACATGGACTTGGATCTGGGTTGAACGGGCTTTGGGCTTTAGGATCCACACGGGGCCCATGTGTTGAGCCGTAGTGGATGCCTATATATAGTGGGGGTACTGCATCACTATCAGATAATCATTCCGGTGCAAAAGTTAGGGCTTAGCATGTGTTGCAATTAGCTGCCCAGCACGCCTAGGTCATGCGATCAGACCTAGCAGTCCGCCACCCGGCGTTCCTCACCGCACGCGCGGATATAGTTAGAGGCAGTGCGCCTACACTACTCCGGCGAACTTGTTCGAGGGATTCGGCAACTCTGTTTGAGGGAGATCGGTGACGAGGAGGAGACAACTCCTGCTACGCACTATATCAATTCTACTTCCGCTGCACTGCACATTAAGTGGTATGATCTCGTGATCTATCTCCCATAGCACGTTCCTGGTAGATATATGAATAAAAAGAATTTATATTGCAGATGATGCACCTAGCGTGGCCCAACATGTCATTGTTGTAGTTTGTGATCGTTTCTGGGTTTTCTCTTTTCCCTCGCTTATGGGTTTTCTCTTTTTCCTCGCTCCGGCATAACTTTGGTATTTCATGACTTTGTTATTTGCCGACGTGTTTTATGCTTGTGTGTGTGATTGTGTTGGCTGTTTGCATCCTAATTATGGAGAGGTTGGATGTGTGCTCTTTGTATTTGTATTCTCTTGATGCTTTATTTGCATTCAGTAAAAATTTCGAAGAGAAGTGACAATTCTAAATGATGGACGCACACACACACACACCTAATCATGTCCTTTTCCAATACTGGTTACTTAAGTCTTATCATTCAAGTTACATTATAGTTCCCAGTAATAACACAATGATAATTGAGAACACCCCAAATAGATTCTTGGCATGCTAAACTAACGCAAGATGGTTGTAGATCCTGATTTTATTTCCCCTGCAAGTTGCACTATCCATGGTCAGCTGAGAGCCCATCAGAGAGACCAACTGAATTAGCTGCCAACACATATGTTGGCAACAACACAACACAACACAACGGGCAGAATAAGAAGCCTCCGCATCAGCATCATCCAGCCTGTGTGTGGCCTTGCACTAACCTCTGTCTGTATAGCCAGCAGGCAGGCAGGCAGGCAAGGTGCAGAAATAAATACCCTGATACCCAGCTCTGGTTGAACCTAACAGCGGGAATTAATCATGCAGGAAATTAGGAACAGATCCGTCTGCGCCAAGACAAGGACCCTGCATCTCATCTTCTCGCTGTGCTGCGCTGTGCTGCTTCACAATCACATCTCCTAGACCCTACCGTTTTCTCCGGCCACTATGGCGCTCCAGTACCCAAACCACCGCAGCATCTCACAAGATTTATGCCCTCTGTGTTCACAAGTTGGCCTCGTTCTCGATGTCAGGCCGTGTCCAACATGCAGCTTTGACCATTATTATTTTTCATATGAACACCAGTAAAATGTAGGAGTACCAATTTTCATATGAATACCAGTAAAATGTATGAAATAATTTCATGATAAGTATGACTAATTTTAGTCAAGGAATATAAATTGATTACATATGAATTTTAAAACGTCCTCTGACAGTCAGTGGCGGAGATCCAACGCGATTCAAGATGGGGCTAAATGAGTGTTAAATAGAGTTGAGGGGGCTAATTTAGTGTAGTATTGTAAAATTAGCTCAAATAGTGCTACTGGCCCTCGCTAAGCTCCGCCACTGCTGACAGTAATGCCTGTGTTAGGCTACATACAACTCTTGAGTTGCTTTGGATGCTCTCCATCTCTCTCATCTTCTCTCTCTAACTAGTCTTGACCACAACCTCGAGACTCATGTGCACCACATGTACCCTGTCGGCCGGCCGGCCGGTGCATGTTACCCCTGAATGAATGAATGGGAGCAGCAGTGCAGACACCCAGATTTAGCACTACTCATCAAGGGGGAGAGCCTGTTTCTTGACCGGCTCTGGTTAGTAGTAACTGTTTCATCTGGGCTGGCTAAGAGCGAGTACAATAGAGCTGAGTCAGCGGGCTATAAAGAATAAACTAGTATATTTCTGCTTAGTTGGAGGAAAGAGAAGAGGAGAGAGAAGATAAGCGGGCTCTTGTGAAGAGCCAGCTCTAGCACGTGCTCCTAGGCACTTTGTGAGAATGAAAGGTGGGCCACATAATAAAAAAGTAATACACTCTTTTGATCTACTATTGTACATGTTGACTATAAAATAGGCTATAGATGACATGGCACTGGCTTATAGCCAGCAGCTGGCTATACTATTAACCATGCTCTAATTAACTCTGCTCTTTTGTCACTACTTTGACAAGTGGCTCATGCATGTGGCCCAATCTTGTTCCTGTTCATCTCCAGTGCACGTGTAAATAAATTTGCCCGGACAAAGGACTCGGTAAAAGAGAAAGGAAAAGAAATTGGACGCATTCCCCATACCTGTGTTCACATCATTCGTTTGGATCTTGCTTGCAAGATTTGTCTCATTTAAATTTTTGGAGCCTTGCTTGCTTAACCATGCATCTTTTTTGCAAGTGATTGATGCTGAGAGGACACGCGTGTCTGTGTAACATTTTGGTCCCTTTTTTGCAGCATTTTAGTGGTTAAGTGAGTCAAGTTCATGCTTAGTATGCATTGAGATGATTGCAAATAGCTGATGCCACCGAGTGAAATTTTCTTGCAACCTTTGATATAACCAAACTCAAGGGAGACATCAACCAACCATTGACATGGCTTAACACGGAAAGAAAGCTGTTTTCTTTGTACAAACACACATGGAGATCCGATTCAACTCGAACTGATCTCCACTCCTTTTGTGTTGCTAACACCTATTTAAAAAAACAAAATAAAAATAAAACTCCACTCGAATCAGCTTGCGTCTTTGCCTTGAAGAGTAGCACTGTGGTAGATGAGTCGACAACATGCCCAAAAGAACAAAAGAATTCCTCCATGTTGCACACATGCACCCATGGCATGTTGCGTGTTCTTCGTAGATGGATTCCATTTCACTCCTTTGATGATCCTAGGCCTCTTGCTTCGGATCCCTTCATGATCCTCATCCTCTTGCAAGTGCTCATGAACATCCTGCAAATCGACAAAGAGATCCTCATAAGACACCATACTGAAATTTTTCAAACTCTAACCAGACCAAATCATATGTATCTTGGATGCATGAACTTACCCGAAGGGCACGTCGCCAACGAGCATGAGGTCGCCGTCCTTGTCCTCGTAGGTCACGGCGAAGTCCGACGGGTTCACACTGCCTGCGTCGCCGGAGAAGCCGAGGAACATGGCCTCCAGGGCCTCCCTGAGCTCGCGGTAGCCCTTGTACATCTTGAGGTCGATCTTCCTCAGGTAAGGGGCTCCGTCCATGCTCACCTTCACGTACAGTGATCCTCCCGCGGCAGCGGCGGCGGGCGGCGCCGCGGCAACGGCCGTCTCCTCCTGCTTCACTACCACAGGTGCCGGTGCGGCCGCCTTGGCCTTGCTGCTCGCCTGCTGGAAGCAGCTCTTCCTGTAGGACCTCACGGGCGGCCACCCAACCACCTGCGCCTTGGCGGCCGGGGGCGCGGCCTTGGGCTCCTCCTCGCGGTGCTCCCCGGCGAGCGCGCGCTTGGTGCCGGCCCTGGGAGTGGACGGCGGCGACGGCATCTTGTCGCTCTCCTCGACGCCCGGCAGGCCGAGCCTCAGCTCCGTCGCCTTGAGGTTCTCCACGTCGGCATGCACGTAGCTCATGGCAGCCGCCATTAGTTCCTGTCGCCGGCGATGAGGTGCTTGTCTACCGACTAGAGGTGGTTACAACTTGCAAGTCGTTCTTCTCAGCTGGCTGTAGGTGAGTGGTGAGGGTTTGTGAGCTGTGGAGGTTCTCCATGGAAATGTTTTATAGAGCGGAGCCCCCGGGTGGTAGGCCTGCTGCGACGAGGAGAGGAGAGGAGAGATAGGCGGGCGTGTGGCGCGCCCGTGTGAGGGAGGCTCCAACTCCACATGCGTCCACATGCACGCACACGTACGTGCCACAGCCGAGGCCACGCGCATGTGCGGCGTCCACACACTTACCACAGGTAGCTGGGGTGGTTGCGGGGTGGGGTGCAGCCATGGGGGCCTTGCCGGCGGCGACCCGCGACAGGGCGGCCCGACCCGGCGGGACCCACGCGGCTCCACTAGGCGTACCACTAGAGATTCTCGGGTGCCGGCGGGTCGGGTCGTTGCTTTACTACTGCACTTGACCCGATAGCCCGGTACGTGATCACTGTACGTGTACATTACTAATTGGACCCCATATCAATTATCCTCAAAATGTACTTACCATAAGGAATGAAGATCCCATAACCCGGTTGAGCCGGGCATGGATCTGGGCCTGGCACCGGTGCCCGGACCCGTCATCTAGAAAGGTTCAAACAGCACTGATGAAATTTAGCCTGATTAAATAAATAAAATAAATAGGGCGCCAATGCCATGATTAGGATGTTATCATTAGAGATCTTGGGGGAGCATCTTTGGCTAATACAAAACTGTCTCCTCCCTTCTCCCCAATAATAAGATATGTATGGAACAATGTAACATGGAGTATATGGGCACTTGTCTATTGCATGCTCCTCATCATATACCTGCATCTCTCCCCACTACCTTTTGTTTCTTCTTTTCCCTGCCCTTGCTTCTTTTGCCTATGCAAAGCAGGCCCTAGTGGTAGGGGAGCTTGTTTAATTAGTCCAAAAGTTCCCTTGCAAAGTGCACTGTTAACCACTTCACCTTTTCTTTTTCTATATGGAAACTGCAAAGTATTGTGAACTGCAGTGATGGTGCTGCTCCTTTAACTAACCGATGCTTGTATATTCATTTTCCTGGTGGGAGCAAAGGTGGTCCCTAGCTTCAGCTAGATTATCAAACAAGCTGAATTTGGGCTACGGGGTATCATGAATGCTGGGCTCAGCTTCAGGAAATCCTGAAAAAAATCTTTTTTATTTATTAATTAAATAATCTCTTTTGCAAAAATAAACAAAGTTTTTGTGCATTTATGCAATGTAAGTTCATGTCAAAAATCCTGAAGGTTTAACTAGTGTGACTTATACTGTTGTGCAATTGTGTAAGTCAAAATGTCTAGTAGAATAGTCATGGAAAGGATCTCTGGATAAGACCCATCAAAGTGCAGATCAGTAGATGTTCCTAAAGATCAGTAAAGCCACATTTGTCTGTCTCAGCTTTGTTCCTACCATGACATTTCTTATACATTGCCACCATCAAGCAATCTTTGCAAAGATATTTGCAGTCTCATGTTCAGTGAGCTAATCCCCCCTTTGATCAGTAACTGACTAACCAACCTCGATTTGCTAAACTAATTAACTTATGAGGAAGTAGCATCAAATTGGATTCCCTGACAACACTGCCACAACCTATACACATCCAATTGCACCGAAATTTCGACCACCATGTCCATGCGTTTGACTATCACCAAGCAAAGGTACCCTATGTTCCTGCAACCTCCTACAATCCCAAACTAGAATAGTCCCCAAAAGAATCTTTCGAATTCGCGGCGAAAAACAAGTGTGCATGCCTTGTTTCCAAATTAAACTATGCCGAGATGCAAGCTAACCGTAAGGTCAGTTTGAACTTAATTTCAGTCTTGATGCCTGTCTTGGAAAAGTGTTTGCTCAAGTACTGTCCATGTCGCCCACTGATCTAAGTTTCTTGGATTCCGGCTTGAACTACTCAACTACATATACTCAGTGCATTTGTTAATACTAGGAGAAGAAGTACAATGAATCATGGAGTGGTTTAATTTGGCAGGCAAGAATCTTTTGCATGATCATATTTTGAGCCGGCGAATTAGGGCGGTGCCTGCACGTTTGACTGTTTGTTGCATGCTTGACACTGCATGATGCATATATTTTTGTTGTATGATGATGGAGTACTGCATCCATGCACCGACTAAATGTTGCAACCTCCTTAAAATCCGTTAATTTCATGTGCCGGGAATATGTGGAGGTTCACCATTGAAATGATATTCTAGATAGATTCCCTCTAGGATTATAAGATGAGCATTTCTTTTGTCTAGCTCATTTGATGCTTTATGTTGCAATAACCCCCTACATGGAAACGATTATCAATTGCAAGTGTTCGCTTCTAACAGTGAGCAAATTAATTAGTGGGTAGTCGTAATGGACATATATATAACATTGGCAGTTGAACTTTTGCTTGGCTTATCATTTGCTTTGTCTACACTATGCATGCATGTGTACTACGCACTTGCTACCCCCTGTTTTATGTGTTCAACCTGTTGGCTGCTAACTAGTATATGTGAATGTACAGTTTGCACATTTTTTTTCCACTATATCTGTGTAATTGATCGTTCACTAACCTAGCTACATATCTACGCATGTGTAGTTAGTAAAATGCATGTCTCGTTCACTGATACACTTTACCAAATTTTAGACAGGTAAGCCGAACTTAATTTATGTGTTAATGCTAGGTTATTTTGCTAACACTGTTTTTAGTAAATAATCAGATTTATTGATTAACTAAACAAAGAGTAAATCACGCTTTGGAATGGATATTGTATCATCAGTGCTCCCTCCATCCCGGTGTATTGGGATCCGGCTTGCCTGCTCCCTTTCCATGCTCCCATCCGTGCTCCCACTTCATCCTATGGCTGTCCTTTTTTCTTTTTCTTCTCTAATCTAATCATCTCTCCCCCTGATTTTCAGGGGATGGGGCCGGGTCTTATTTTTTCCAATCAAATTAAGCCACGTATGCGGGAGCACGGATGGGAGCATGGGAAGGAAGCAGGCAAGTCTCGTCCGGTGTATTGGCCTTACGTGTACTTTTAGGTCGGCAATTTCACAAACCAAATATGTATCACAAATTTCGGTCCATGTCATACTTCTAAACTTGGACATTTGAAGGTTGCCGCTCAAACTTCACGAATTCGGTCTATGCCAATAACACTTGCATAGAAATTAGCTAAATGCTCATGCGCACCGTCTCACTGAGTTGCCGTCATGTTGCAGTCTAATTTGTTTTGTTTCCTCCTCTATGGGACCCACAACTTTGCCACATCAACAAGAGACTCGACTGAGCCTTCATCCATTGTTTCTCAAATACAAAACACCATGGGCCCTGCGAGGAGACTCGGTTAACCTATAAAAAAAAGAGGAGACTCAATTGAGCATTCGTCCGTGTTGGGCCCTCCAGCAGCGCTCGATAGTGCCACATTCCTAATTTTTGGCATGTACAACTCATTTTCTTCTCGCCACTTCCACTGTTGTCCTCTCGCTGCTTCGCCACTACCACCGTCGTCGGCTCCGCCACACTTTTGCCATGGCCTCCGTCAGCCCGGATCATGAAAGCGGCGATGGACGGTGGCCTCTGGTCATGCTCAAAAGTGTCGTTTCCCACATCAAGGTAAGAAATCTACCATTATCCTATACATTTTTGTGATTTTATTTTGCGGTTCAAATAGCATGGTCATTCTCTACTATTTTGTGTAGGCCGGTACCTTCCAGCAAGGATGGTTTTGAAGATCCGGCCTGCCCGATGACAGCTTGACAGTTGGTGGAAGGTTTCACTATCAATTGCCTGTAGGCACTACCATGGTAACTCAGAGGGGTCTGATTAAGCAATTTGAGAAGTATTTGCGCCAACTGAACGAGCATTACCTACTCGGTTACTATGAAAACAAAATGGAAAAATTCAATGATGTAGCCGATGAGGATTGTTTGTGATGTTTGGAAAACACATGCCTATGAGGATTGTGTTGATGTCAGTTTATATCGCTAAAGATCAGATTGGGGCAAGAGTGCCTCATTAATAATGAGAAAATGTATCCACATGTGGATGCGGATGGCTATGCGCCTGATAAGGATGAGGAGGCTAATGACAAGGAAGACGATGTGGTGGCTGATGGTGGAGAAGAAGAGGATGATAGGTATGTGATCCCTATGATAGCTCGGACAGCTCTGATATGAAGGTTAGGACTAATTTATGCCTATGGCAGGGGGTTCAAATTTATCATTGAAAAGAGTGACAAAATTATGCTAAGGTGCATTGTACGCAAAACCCAAAATGTAAATGGCGACTACGTGCATCTGCAATGAAATTTGGCCTTCCATTTAAGGTATTCCCCAGTATGTAATAAGTATTTTTCATATGTTACGATATTGTTCACCCTGTGTTACCCTAATAAATTTTCTGTCCATTCCAGGTCAAGGTTAACACCGAGACACACACACACACACACACACACACCTGCCCTACTATGCTTCCAATTAGGAGAAGAAAGACCATGCCACTTCCATTGTTATATTCTTCTACAATCTCCGGAAATAGAAGGACCAAAAATAAGCATGAAATATATGACTTTCTAGTTATGGTCATGTAATGGACCGGATGTGTTGTGTTTCCTTTTGGTAAATAATGTAGTTCGAAGGGGTGAATGATTGTGCTCTGCATTTATCTATAGCTATATAAATTTCCAGAAGAATATATATGGTCCAGTTTTGGCCTAGATTAACGAAATATGCCCAAAGTTCAAAACTAATCACCAAATTAAGGTGAACTTTCCTAGTTTGTCCAATATGTGCAGGGGAATGTGCTACACAACAAAATATTATGCTACACGATCACGCCCGGGAACACTATGAAGATGGCGGCCACGATCAAACTCATCGATGAGCATAGTAGCGGAAGCAGCGAAGAATCGGTGCAGCGCGACGATTTCTCGCAACTAGGTTACTGATGAGCCATAAGTATAG